TGTATGCTGTCAGGCAGTTTAGGATTGCACTGACCTCCATTTTGCAGTAACCTTGTAATAAATTCGTAGTATTTTATCTCAACAGTGGGACTCTGTAGTGATTGTTAAAAGTAAACCTTTAATACTGGAAGGTGGTTATGATGCCTGGCTGCTACATTATCCACAGTTTACAACCAATCCATCAATACCAAGACCACCAAAATATAGAGAAGTTGCTGCCATCACCACACTCTGTAAGTTATTTCCATGTTTGTGGGATATGCTTTTATTATACATGTATTATAGTTTGTGTGCTTTCTCACTTTATGATATTGTAATTAAATGCACAATATATTGTTATTACGGTAGTTTATATGAACCCTATATGTAGGGCATCTAACCTTTTTACCACATGTTCCCTCATTACATCTCAAATTTACTAAAAAATTCTGTTTACACTTTTCTACAACAGATAAGAACAAGAATCGCCAAATTATTTGAGTAAAAACTGAAAATTGATCACATTTTGTCTCTTGGCTCCAAAATCAGTGTTTGTTTCCAGAAATATTGAAAAATATAAAAAAAGTGAACAGGTTAGAATATGGATTACTTAAATAGGAGTTGAAGTCAAAACTCTTTTTACTTACCACTACACTACTATCTGCCCATAGCAACCTTTTTAGTGCAAAAATTATCTTAATTCAAATTTACATGTGAAGTAACGTGTATATAAAAGAGACCTGCTTAATGAAACCAGTCACTATTCTGTGTATAATGGCCATAATGATGAAAGATGATTGCACTGTTGCCAATAAAGATGTTCATAGTGTTCATATTAAAGACATTGCTCACTAGATTAATGACCATATATAGTCATGTAACCTCATTAAAAATGCATAGTATGTCTGGAGCATTATTATAAAGAAATTAAACCATTCCGTTATTGAATGCATTGGGCACAAAATTTGATCAACATTTAATAATCATATATGTCATGTTACTAATTAAAAAGTTCATAACTATCATATCTGGAGCACTATTGCAGACACTCATTCAGTGCTTGTAATCAAATGCAGGGATCTGCAGTCATGATGGCTTTCTGATTTATTGATTCTTCAGCTGCAAATATCTATTAAAATTGCCTCTTAAACTAAAAAGTTATTGTCATATTTCTATTAACAAATTGATTAATAAACCATCATTTGAAGACCACCTTTCTTAAAAAAAATTGTTTATTAAAGTGCCTTTAATTGTATTACACAGGTGATGTAGTCATTTATATGACTACTTTATCATGTCATGTGTGCTTATACCTAAGACTATGGGGATACATGTGAAATGAAACATCAACTACAATTTTCTTTTATAATTTCTTGTATATTTGTTCTTTTTAGTGGATTTTGATTACCCTACTCTGGAGGATGAGCCCCCTAAAAAACCACTGACTTCCTCGGAAAGCCTGCATGAAAATTTTAATGGTTCGCAGTCTAAAGATTTGGTTCCTGGTATTCCTTCCAGTAATTCCTTACCAGCTGTGGCTCCAATGCCTCAATTTGATAGATCAAATAAACCCAAATCATCAGAACCATCACCTGCCATTCACAGTGTAAGCATGCCACAGCTGAAATCTCTTTCTCTGGATGATCAGTCAGCAACACTTACCAGAAATCCCTCTGTAGATAGGAGTAAGAAACCCAACCTTTCTGATGGAGTTGTCAATGATACTGGGAAAAGCCCTGAGGAGGAAAAGTCAAATATAATGGAAGAAATGCGTGTACAGCAAAGAGAACTGGAAGAAAGAATCCGTATTGAAAAGGTACGCATAAAGGAAGCTGAGAATGCAGCAAAGAATCAGGAGATGCGACAGAAACAAGAAGAAGAGAAAGCTCGTTTAGAGAAACTTAGACAACAAGCAGAAGAAATGAGAAAGGAGAGAGAAAGGAAAGAGAGAGAGTTGGATGAAGCAAAGAAAAGGGCTGCTCAGCAACAAGAAGACCGAGTGAAGCAAGAAAAAGAGAATGCCTTGCGAAAAGATGCTGAGATGCTAGCAAAAAGGAAAGATGCAGAGATGCGAGAGAAAAGAGAGGCTGCGAAGAAGGATGCAGAGATAATAGCAAGAAGGGAAGCTGCAAAGAAGCAAGAAGAGCAGGAAAAAACAGAACAAGAGGCTTTGAGAATAAAAGCAGAACTGGCAGATCAAGAGGAGCAACAGAAAAGAGA